GAATCGACGGCAGTTGAGAATGAAGCAGAATTACAATGCGAAATATATGATTTTGAATGTAATATATTCCTGCGGTGTGAGTAGATGATGGTTGTGTGCAAACAAAAGCTTTTATTTACTGATAAATAATTACAAATTGTCGTGGCAGATGTTTTCCGAATTCCTTTCCAAAAATATTTATTTCTACTTTCTTTCCAGGTGTCTTGGCTGCAAGTGATGTCTCACAGACACCTCAGGCCGTGACAGTGAATGAAAATGGAAATGTTTCAATGGAATGCATCGCCACTGTGACCAACTCTCTCTTTCAGTGGTATAAACTTTATGGAAACGGCTCCATTCGGTTCTTGGTTTTGGGAAAAACCGACGTAAATACGAAGGACAGGATAAGAGCTGTGGCTGAGCGTAAACAGAAAAACTGTACCCTAGCAATCGAAAAAGTGCGAATGGCAGACACCGCCACTTACTTCTGTGCGGAGAGCACAGTGTTCTGTGCCTAAGACGGACCTGTACAAAAACATGTTGGGTTCACTGCAACTCAATGGTTAGAGCAATCGCCTCGCAAGCGTGAGGACATGGGTTCGGTTTCCGTCCTGGCAAAATGTTGTGCTAGTTCTCTTACACCTCATGCGTCTGCTCACATGGCAGCCTGTAGGAAACTGGATGTTAATTGATTGGCATATCTCTTTTCAGGGTGCAAGAATTGTTTAAATCGGAAAAGAAAAATTCTCTTTATTCCGCAACAGTTTATGGGACACGGCTGTGTGCAATCGGCTGCCGCATTTTTCCCACAGTCCATTCACTTCACAATACAACTGTGAAATGCTGTGTAATATCTCGAAGACGTGATCAGGAGCCATATCCACCGCAATGCTTATTATTATTTTTATTGGATTATTGAGCGGGAAATAAGAACCAGTTTGATAGGAATTTGGATGATCTATTTTAATCGATCAAAAAAGTGGGTCACTCAATCAAAGACCGTTTGTCAGAAGCTGCTGTGTGTACTTAGCTGCCAGGTTTTGTCCACAAAATACACTCTCGAGACACTTTGCACTGTGAAGACAGTATAAATTACTAGGAAATTAATAAGGCTTGATATGAAACGCAAAGGCAATTATTATAACACACAGGTTGATTTGGATACTCATAAGAATGGTGATGGGTGTCCCCACACGTGTCAGACACCGGTTAAGAAAAATAAATGTGAATCTGTGAAGAATCATTCAGCGAAATAAATCTTACAACACAGTAACTTGTAGAATTGAATGATACGAGGAAACTTGTGTTTTGTACCCAAACTGCTGTAACCCAGAAGCCTTGAGCGGAGAGCGGCGCTGAAAATATGATCACTGACATAAATTAAAGTGAACTATGTCGAGAGTTCTGAAGAGTATTGTTCAGAGCATTCACTTCGCAAGCAACAAGCCCTGGGTTAAACAACTGGAAATATTTTATTTACCCCACACTAATGCCTCTGTCCTCCTAGCAAAAGCAGGAAAACGGTTGCTCGTCGATTGGCTGATCGCTTTCCCACGAGAAATACCCCCTAAAGAAAACTATTTGGTCACTCAATTCATGAGTGTTTGTGAGCAATAGACTACCAATTTTCGCCCCCGAAAAACACTGTGCACATTACGCTGAAGGGAATATTCTGCTAAACGTTTTTGACGTTCCACTGGCATTATTAGGCGCTGTATCAAATGCAATCATTAGTATTATCATTTCTGTAATTTTGGTTTTAGTAAATGAAGTCCGTTGCCTGAACACCGGTTGTCGCTGGTGCTCTGATATTTTCTCCAGGCAACACTCGCTGAAAAGCCTTCGAAAACTGGTTCAATAATACATATTCCTATACCTTTTCTTTCAATAGTTTTCAGAATAATAGTTGTCACTCCCGTCCCTTTCCTCGGTTTGTACGTCCCATTCAGAAAAAAAAATAATAGACTCGAAACATAGATTATTGGGATCACAGTTCATTACAAGTGCAGGTAATCAGTCCCACAAAATATAAGTGTGCATTAGGAATCTCTGGCTGTTCAGATCCCACGACTACTGGAAAATTTCTTACTTACATCCTAAACTATTGTAAATTTCGATTCTACGGAACACTGAGAAGCTATTGATCTCATTCCGTTAATCACAAAGTTCCTGATACACTATTCTTGCCATTCGCCAATGTTGCTGGTAAGATTTCCTTAAAAAAGGGCTAAATAAGTCATTCAAGCCACAAATATTTGTGGGCGATGTATGTGCGTAATTATCTGCCGCACTGTCCCACAACTTATGCAGTCAATTAGCTTTACAAAATACTCCATGAAGCGCTTTCAGACGTCTCAATGACGTGATAAGGCGTTTTATGAAAAGCAAGGGATATTGTTATTTTTACTTTTATCTGCTTCAGTCTTTGTAACTCGCTTCCTCTACACTGTCTCTTTCACACATTACTATGGTTTGCCACTGCGAAGCGGAGGGAATCTGAGCTTAAAAGATGGGAGGAGTCGCAATACATCTCCAGCAATGAACAGAGACAGAGTAACGACGCGAGGATAAGAGTCAACGTCTCAAGTGAACCAACGTTTATCCACCAGGTACCGACTTTAGATGATTTCTGGTTGCAATTCACCCACATATATTGAAGTGGATCGAAGAGAGTTGAGAATGAAGCAGATTTTCAGCACAACATATATTATTTTGAATTTAACAATAAAGCTTTGGTGTAAGTAGTGCATGAATTTGGATAAAAAATATTTTTTTCCTGCAAAATAATTACAGTTTATCGCGGCAGACACTTTCCTAATTGCTTTGCGAGTATGTTCATTTGTTCTATCTTTCCAGGTGTCTTGGCTGAAAGTGATGTTTCACAGTCACCTCAGGCCGTGACAGGGAATGAAGATGGAAACGTGTCTATGGAGTGCAACACCACTGTGTCCGGCCCAACCTTTCATTGGTACACACAGTATGGAAACGGCTCCATCCGGTTCTTGGTTTTGGGAACAAAAGACATCAACATGAAGGACAGGATAAGCGCTTTGGCTAATACAAGACAGAGAAACTGCACTCTAACAATCCAAAACCTTCTGGTGACAGACACCTCAACTTACTTCTGTGCGGAAGGCACAGTGCTGTGTGTCCAAGAGGTACCTTTACAAAAACATGTTGGTTTTACTGCAGCTCAATGGTTAGAGCACTCGCTTCACAAGCGAAATAATTGGGTTCAATATCGGGCAGTGCAAAATGTTGGCCAAGTTTCGTTACTCCACATGCGTCTGTATATCCAGCGGTAAGTCGGAATATGGTTGTTAGTTGATTGACGGATCGTTTATCCGATGGTGATAATTCCTATAAATAGAGAAAAAATTTCAACCCCCATCTCTTTGTGGGACACTGCTGCGCGCAAACGGCTTCGACATTTCGCCCGTAACATAAACAGTCAATTTACTTCACCCTACAACCTACCAAACGCTATGTGTCATCGAATAGGTGAAAAGCGCTAAATTGAATGCAAAGATCCTTATTATTTTTAATGGTTTACTGAAGCGGAACTCGGAACCCGATTCACAGCAGTTTGGATGATCTCTTTTTTCGGGTGTGATAATCCATCAACAAAATAGATCACTCGATCAAAGACTGTGTGAGAGACGCTGCACTATGCACTTGGCTGCCGGTTGTTGTCCACAAAATACACTGTCGATGCACTTTACACGGTACACTCTGAGGATCGTACAGTCGACTCGGACAAGTGATAAATCGTTATGTTAATTACAAGCGCTTTTATCATAACCCAAACGTTGGTTTGGATAATCATATGCATGGAAATGGTTTCCACATATGTCAGACA